TAAATTTTAGCTTAAATTTTAAATTTATCTAGTTTTCAATTTATATATTATTAAAAAATTAAACTGATTTTTATATATTTTAGGTTATGTTCTTTTAAAAAATCAGCTTACATTTTGATTAGCTTAATTATTTAAAAAGTTATCAGAGTTTAAAAATAAGATAAATTATTAGTAATTAGCCAAATTCAGACTATTTTACAGGAATTTTTACAAGGATTTATTTATCATTTGACCAATAAAAATGTGAGATTTTTCACATAATCACATTAATTATCATTTGCATTTTGTGTTAAACTTTTATATGTAAAACTTTTAAATAAATATATTCACATACATTCGTATATCACAGTTTATCTTTTGAATATTTGTTTAAACACATTTTTGATTTTATTTTGTCAATTGTTTTAAAAAAATGCCATTTCTTTTCAGGCAGAAAAGAAAATAAAAAGACTAACTGCATATAGCAGATGGTAAATATAATAAAAGAGCTCGTAAATATAATCAGAATTTATTTAAATTTTCAATGTCGATTAATAATAATTATGAAAAAAAAATTTATAATAAAAATAATTATGATTAGTATAGCATAGATGATGCAATTACTGCAATTTATAATACTGATTCATTTGGTTCCTTTGATAATAGTTAATATATTAATTTTAAGTTCTTAAGTGAAGAGGAGTAGGATGATGATGATGATGATAGTGAATGGAATGATCTGAAAAATAGGGAAGATGAAAATAAAATCTATCAAAAAATTAAAAGGACTTGATTTAGTGTGAAAAAATAATAAAAAATAAAGTGAAGACTATATAAGATAGGCAAGATATCAAAGTTAACCCATTATGATAAATATGGACCAAATAGCTCTTTTACTAAAGTAGCAGCTGATACTAAAAAAATCACTAGTTTTTTTATGAAAAATGATACTCAAGCTATAGATTCACAATCATATGAACCTATTAAAATAGATGATTTAAGTGATTCTAAAAGTGAAATTATTGATCCATACACCTATTGGATAAATAAAAAATTACATGAATTAAAAGAGCAGTTAGAAAAGCATCATGATCAATTAACAATCTTTGAGTATAATTATAAAAGAGCAATTTTTGAATACCTTACCTTATTAAATAATAATAATAGACGTGAAAGAATTAATGC